ATAAGAATGTTGTTTATTGGTCCAGTGGTGAGGATTTTTGTTTTCTTTACATTGAGATGTAATACAGACCGAAGGCTGTGCTCTTTGATCATCATCAGTAAGTATTTTTAGTCCTCCTCACTTTCAGCAAGCAAAGTTGTATCATCTGTATATCGCAGGTTATTAATGACTCTTCCTTATATCCTGATGCCACATTTTTCTTCATAGAACCCAGCTTCCTGGATTATTTGCTCAGCATACAGGTTGAATAAGTATGGTGAAAGAATACAACCGTGTTGCACACCTTTCTTAATTTTAAACCATTCAGTGTTCCCATGTTCTGTCCAAACAACTGCCTCTTGGCCCATGTACAGATTCCTCATGAGCACAATTGAGTGTTCTGGAATACTGTTAAATATCATCAAGTCAGTTCCAACTCATAGCGATCCTGTATACGGTTTCTGAAAGTAGCTAGTGGGTTTGAAGTGCCAAACTTGCAGCTAGTGAGGTTGGTAGTCCAGTACTTCCGTCATAGTACCATGCCATGGTCCATTTATAACTGTTCTAGCATTATCTAATAACGCATTAACTACTCATTTATCTGATTTTTGACACTAGATTTTTTAAAAAAAGACTGTGCATGAGAATAACAAACTTAAAAATCAAAGGAATTCTGCTTATAGGTTAAAAAAACAAATTTCACAAAGTATGGAGTATGTTACTCAATGAAATAATTTATTTTAAAATGTTTTCGGGAAGAATTCTTTTGGGAAGCACAGTGGCACCATACAATAAGCACTGGACTTCCAACCAGTGTCCGCAGCTGAGCCTGCCAGCCACTCCACGGGACAAGGACGAGGTTTTCTGCTCCCTTGGAAATTTAAAGCCTTGGAAACCCTGTACAGGGTTGCTGTGAGTCGAAACCAAACCAACTCAACGGCACTTAACACCATCAATAATTCTTTTAATAAGATACTCTAACTGCAAGTTAGGTAACTTATAATAGCCTACTTTGAGTTTAGCCTTAAAAAACATTTTCCTAAATACTCTGAAATATTACCGTAAATATTTTCTTCTGCAGTATTAGGCTGATGAGAAGAGAAACACAACCCATGTTCAAGGAATTTACACTCTGCAGCTGAGTACCTACCGCCTACATCTCAAAAAGGCAGGCGCTAACTGGGCCCAGCTGACTGCTGCCGTGTAGAACTACAGCCTCAGTGTTGCCTTACTTTCCTTTTCAGGAGATTCCAGAAATTCAGACATCAGCAGCTCATATCCGAATTTTAATAATTCTACTAATTTTTAAAGATTGGCAATTAATTAAAAAGTAAACTGTTGCCTATGTTGTATTAAACTTGTGTGGCACCAACTTTTTTGATTTTAAGAAAATCCAATCTTCTATCCTTACAACCGAGAAAAATACAAGCCCATTTAGTGAAACAATTTGTCTAGATGGTTAGAGGTACATTTGGAATATTAAATTAAAACCCCAAACAATTATACCTATATTTTGATTTCAATACTTTGTAGGATTTCCAAGGCTTTAAATCTTCAAGGGAGCAACAAGCCCCATCTCTCTCCTGTAAAAATGAAATGGCTATGTGCTTTCAAACTGGGGGTTTTGTTATCCTTTAATTTGACTGAGGGACCAATCCCTGGAAAAGGACATCATGCATCATAAAGTGGAGGTTCAGTGAAAAGAAGACCCTCAACAAGACGGACTGACACAGTGACTGCCACAATGGGATCAAACATAATAATCATTGTAAGGATGGCACAGGACTGGGGTATGTTTCATTCTATCAGAAACAACATGATACTGTGAGTCAAAACAGACTCGACAGCTTTGTAAAAAATGTTTAATCGTAATCCTACAAAAATTGTGAGCCTTAGGAACTATACTCCTAACTAAGAGTGAAACAGTTTCCTTTTTAAAATTTACCTTTTTATTTATTAGAAACCACTGGGGTTTGTGCAAAGGTCGAAAACTTGATCCTCCTGCCTGGCTGTGAGCGAATCCTCGGGATTTGTTGGAATGTATCACACCTCTTGTAGCTATAGATGTACTATATTCCCTGAGGAAAGACCGTGTCTAGCAAATGAGACAAGACAGGACATTTAAGAAAATGTAAGGAATTTGTACAATGGGTTGTTACTGGTACCAAAAAGACTCACCATATTTAGTTACTATTTGTTCACTTTCTACAGCATTAACAAAGCACCCAAAATTTTAAAAAACATAAAGCAAACTCAACTGTGACATGAAAACCAAATACAGTGTGTGATCCCTTATTGTGTCTTGAATGGGAGCAAAAGAAGCAATTCAAGATTATATTTTTTGAGGAACTGGGGAAATTTGAATAGTGACAGTATATGACTGAATTCATATTGCTTTTTCTTAGGTATGATAATGCCTATTGTGGATGTAGAAGAACAATGTCCTTATGTATGCTTAAAAATTTACTAACATGTTTGTAATTACTTTATAATTGTTCAGTGGAAGAAGTGTGTAAAAACAAAGAGAAATTAAGCAAAATATGAAATACTGGCAAACAAAAGTAAGGTATATAGGTAACCAATGTATCTAGTCTTTCAATTTTTCTGCAGACTGAAAAATTTCAAAATAGCTAGCAGTATAAAAAAATAAACAAATGCACGTGCCAAATAAATCCAAGTTTAAATACAACACAGAAATTACATCATAAAAATGTTTTTGTTTAATCTTTCCTAACATTAGTTATTAATGCTATTTCAATATTGATAACAGAAACAGATTAACATTAAAACAATGCTATTCAACAGAATTATGTGATGATGGAAATGTTCTGTATCTAAGCTGTTCAATACAGTAGTTATTAGTCACATGGACTACAAAGTACTAGAAGTGACTAGTGTAACCAAGGAATGAAAATTTAAATTTAAATCAACTTTCAATAATATCGGCATCCACATGTAGTTAGTGTCTACTGTTATTAGACAAGGCAGTATCAAAATGTTAAGGACAAATACAATTTCTAGAGTGAATAATTTCAAATACTTAAAAAAACAAAAAAAGTTTCAAGAAGCACACCAAAACACAGTTTTCTCATTTGTCTACTTTTCTGTTTTTGTCAATTTTCAATAATGTTTATATAACCAAGAAAATCTTTTTTAAAAAAAATCAATCAATGTTATTATTTCCAATAACAAAGAGAAATGAACTCTTGAATCTTCATTATAAACACTTGAGTTGAAATTAATTTTGTCATAGCTCTTTAAGTTATACAAAATATTGCCATATGATTGAGGATACAAAGTAAACTTTCTTTTTCAAGTCTGAGGAAATACAAACAAAAACATTTAAGGGAAATGGTCTTACATTCCAGTCACCACTGAGGATATCTGCAAAACTCAGAAATTCACTGGCTCTCACAAGATCATCTATGTCCACAAAGAAATCTACGTAGTTTTGGTGAAGATATAAATTAAATAATTCTCCTG